TTAGTCTTATATATGTATTTATTTATGTACAAATACACAGGTGTAAACACACACAGATATTTGTATAATAAGCTATGATACAGAATTTACTTATAGTTAAAATATTTGAAAAGCACTATATTAGAGTTTGGGATTTTGTTTTTGTTTCTAATAGTTTGGATGCATTCATAATTTATAAGTCATAATCTCTGACCCTATGTAATCACTGACAAAGAATTGTAGGATGACTAGCCAACACTGGGTAGGGAAATCTGTGACCATGAAAACACAATTTAAGTATTTCAAGCAAGAGGATTATATATTTATTTCTTGATCTCCTGTTTGCCTATGGCAGCACTCTGAAGAGTCAATTAAAAATTGATAATTTGACTTCATAAATAATATAATAGGTCAAACACCACCTTCATAAATTTTACAATCATGATCTCAACAACTAGTCACAGAAAATCTTGTATGCTGGGTCAACAAAGTTTGAAAAACAAAACTTCATTTTACTACTCATTTTTGCGTTGAGAAGGGTCAATAATTGGTGGACCAAGGATACACTCCAGAATAGTTTCTCAGAATAGCAAATCTGACCAGGTTTTAGCAGGATACAGAAATATGGGACAGAAGATAGACAAAGGATGAAATTTAATGAAATGTCAACCTGAAATGGAATAATGTCAACCTAAAAGAGAACTCCAACAAAATGGCCAGTAAGTTCTTCTCCAGCATCTGGCCTATTTAACAATTTGGATACTGAATTCTCTAAAAATATGAACAACATATATAGCACATTTGTAGGTGCCATATATCTATTTGAGTGAGGCAGAAAATGCTTTTCAGGATAACATAAGGATCCCAGTGGAGGTGGGAAGAGGAGTGGGTAAGTGGACGCACATCATCCATACTCCCCCTGGCTGTGAGCTGAAGCCCAGGGATCCAGGGGTGGCTAACATACCGTGTCCTCATAATTCCCCCAAGCACCTCCGAGTCTGCGAACCTTAGCTCCCCCCAAGCCCCATACACTCCTTATTCTCCAACTTCAGCCTGGACAGACCCCACCACGCTGTCCCACGAGGGAGAAGCCCAGAGATCCCGCCTCCCTTCTTTCAGAGACTCTTTGGAGCCCACCAAAGAATCAGATCATTCAGGACAAAGCTGGAGGAGGAGCTGGCAGTAGGAAGCCAGGAATCCCTAGAGGTGACATAGTGACCAGGAGCAGGTGTCTTCCAGTGGCCTCCAATACCTAAGGATGGCGGGATGGCTTCACAGGGCGAGCCACGCTTCCTTCTGACCTTCAACTATGAGGAGACCATCATGGACCAGAACACTGATGACTGGATCGTGTGCGCAGTGCAGAGCCAGCAGCTGCCTGAAAGCCTGTGCGCCACCTACCGTTAGGGCTTCTGCCAGAGCACCCACAGAGGGTGTTCCAGTATCTGAGCGAACAGGGCGTGCGGCTGCGGGACCCGCGCTGTCTGTGAGGCCGTGCCGCTGTTGCCAGGCACAGGCAGTCGGCTGCAGTTCCCGGTCACGCAGATTCCTACTTCGAGGTCATCCTCCTCTCCAATGCCAACACCTTCGGCGTGGAGAGTGCCCAGCGTGCTGCCAGCCACCACGGCCTGTTCAGCCACATTCTGAGGGCAGGGGCCACGCGGGGACCTCTGGCCCTGCAGCCCATCCATGCGCACGGCTGTAGGCGCTGCCTCGCCTGCGTGTGCAAGCAAAGGCGCTCAGCGACTACCTGCAACAGCGCGCGAAGGCATCCACTTCGCGCATCTCTCCTATCTGGGCCCATGGGGAGGCTGGCGGGCCTAGACATGGCCTTCCCCCGTAGCGGCTACCTCCTGCACAGGCTCATGCAGTAGGCGCAGAAGGCGGAGCCCAGCTCGTTCCGCGCCTACGTGGTGCCCTGGTACCTGGCACGCGCCTGCACCTGCAGCAGGCGTGCCCAGCCAGCCCGCTAGCTGGAGGCGAGCTCGGGGAGGGAGAGGCCTGGAAGGTCAGAGCTAGCGCCACTCTCCCCTTTCGGTCCTCTTCCTTCACTGGGGGCTTCTGCTGGGGGCTTCTGGCAATGTGTCCCTCTGGGGCCAACAGCTCTCTGTCATTTCAATTAACCCAGCCCTGCTGCCCCACCGCTGGTTCCATTGCAAAGCTCTGGAGACTGGCGGGACAAGGAGAGGCGTTTCCAAAGCACCCTGTCCTCTGAACTGGGAGGAAGGGCCTGGAGAATGAGCATCTCCCTCCTCTCTGTTTTAACTGCTGAGGGCATGGTGGCGCATGCCTGTCATCTCAGCACTCAGGAGGCTGAGGCAGGATAATCGCAGAAGTTCAAGGCCAGCCTGAGCAGCATAGAGACGCTGTCTCAAAAAGAAGTCTAATTTGCTTTAAGTGATGATGACTTGGGCTGTAAAACCTCTCCCTGTCTTCTCTCAAGGGGACCCCTGGACCCCCAAATGCTTGAGGCCCCACAAGACTCTCCGCAGAGATAGACATGTCCAAGCTCCCTCAATCCTGCTTCAGCCACCACAATCCTGAACAACTTGTGAGCTTGTTATGCCTTCTTGCCTTCCCCCACCCGCCGCCCCCCAGCACCCCCAAAGGAAACAAAGCCAGAGGGCATTGTCGTCCCTGGTGGTGGCACCAGGTAGCACACAGCCTGACCCTGGGTGAGGCCCAGGGGACCTGCAAAGTCCTCTTATATGCACCAATAGACCAGGACTTCACCAAAGGCACCCCTAGTCCCAAGTGGGCCAGAAGCCATGATGTTTCTAAAAAGAGCCCAGGACCGCCCCCCCCACCCCGTGTCTGAGCTATAAAGGAGGCAACAGAAAAAAAGGGTCCCAGTGAATTATAACAGTTTGTTAAATGATGTGAAATCTAACAAGGCAAATTGTTATAAGAATCAATAGAAGGTCCTGTATTTGGATTCAAAAAGCACAGTATGGGAAAGACACAGATATATAGATATATTAGTTATAGCTGTATGCATATTAGTTACACGGAAAAATGGGTTCATTTTGTTATATTCATACACAGATACAGCATATTTTATTTTTACCCCATCATCACCTCCCATTCTTTTCCTTTCCCTCTTCCCCAAACCCCATCCATTTCCCTAATAGTCACTGTTCTACTTTTCTGCCATTTTTCTTTTCCCCAATTTCATTAGATTTTACCTATGAGAAAAAACAAGTGATATTTGACTTTTTCAGTCTGGCTTATTTCATTTAACATAATGATTTCTGCTTCCATCCATTTAATTTCATTCTTGTTTATGGCTAAATAATAGTCTACTGTGCATATGTGCCACATTTTCCTTATCCATTAATCGATTGTGGGCATCTAGGCTGTTCCCATAATTTAGCTATTGCTAATTGTGTTGCAACAAATGTGGTTATGCAAGTATCACTATAGGATGCTGACTTTAATTCTGTTGGGAATGTATTGAGAAGTGGTATAGCTGGATCAAATGATATTTTTATTTTTAGATATTTTCCTGATTTCCATAGTGGCTGTACTAGTTTGCTTTCCCAACAAAAGTATAGAAAATTTCCCTTTTCCCCATGTCCTCACCAGTATTTATATATTTACTTATTTTTATATTCTTAATGATAGCCATGATGGAATCTTAATGTGGTTTTGATTTGAATTTCCAGGATGACTAAAGATGTTGAATATTTTTATATACTTTCCTTACTTTCTTAATTGGCTGAATTTATGGCCTCTGAGATGGATCTGGTAGGAAAGGAGCTTTAATCTAACTAAATGAATGTTGACAAGAGTTTTCTTTATCTTAGAGTCAGGCTCCTGCTCCTAACATTCTTAATTAGGCCAATTTATGACCTTTTAGTGGTGGGTTATCTTCGATTTCAGCTGAGTCCTAGAAGTTCAGTCTTCTTAAAAAGTACAGTTTTTTAGTTATGATTTCCTTGTCTCCTTTCTATCTTTTATTTCTTCTATACTACCCCAGAGTGAACTGAAAAAAACAGAGAGAAAGGAAGTAGCTTCCTGTCTATGATGCTTAACTCACCCTTAATACCCGAGGGACCCCAGGAGAAGAAAGGGGCCCGAGGAGAATGGCTACATGATGCATGTAGCCTAGAGATCAGGGCTTCCAGCATAGGCAAACATACCACACTTGTCCAGGAACAGCAGAGACACCCACCTTAAAAGTACTATGTGGATTGGTACAGTGAGAGTAGCAGAGATAATCTTGCTGTATTATAGATCCTGTATTGTATATACCCCTTCAATTCTTGGGGAACTCCTGGGAAAAGGGACTCTCCAACAGTGAATGAGATTAAACTTTCCTTCACCTCAATGGTATGGAGGGGAGATGGGAATTTCAGCTGACACCTCTGAGCAAACCTGCCCCAAGATACACACTACACATAAGACACATCAAGTGTACACTCTTTATTAGTCGTCAGAATCAGAAAACCCTTGACAAAGATTGATCTTAGTATATAGTTCCAACTTTTAACAAACACTAAACAATCAGTTCCTGGGGAACTCAGAGACACCTTTTGTTCAGATTAGAAGCCGTTCTAACCTCCCACCCTGAGTTCCGCCCTGACTCCCTCCTTGCTTTGGGGGATGCAGAGTGCCTAACCCAGTGAAAGGGAAGAGGCCAAGAAGCATCCTCAAGAGTGATGTGAGAGGGGCCAGGGATTTAGCTCAGTGGCACCGTGCCTGCCTCAAAAGTGCAAGGTCCCAAGTTCAAGCTCTAGTACCAAAAAGAAAAAAAAGGAAAAAAGAGTAGTGTGAGAAACTGAAAGTGTAAATGAAGACCAAAATGATGTGTAATGGGTATTGTGAAATAGGAAGAAAATGTTTAAAAGGGAAGGAGAACTAGGGAGGGGGGCTGGGGAAAAGGAAAGAAGAAAAAAAAGGGAAAAGGAAAAAAAGGAAACAAAGCTTTTGTAAATAGGGTGGGATGGAGGGGTTGAAGGGAGGGAAGATGAATGGAAAAAAAAGAACCAAGATGAGTGATCATAATGTATATCTAAAATGGACCAATAAATTTAAATAAAAAATAAATAAATAAAATGTGCAAAAGAAAAGAAAAAAGAGTGCTCCCCATAGTGCAGTTCTATCTTTAACCCAATTGGCCCTTGGCAGAAAAGCACCATCCATACATAATAATGGCCCTGATGTATCTTTGCAAGCCATTTTGTTATTCATGAGCTGTTGACAGGAAAAGGACTTAGGATGGGAGCAACCCAGGTTTGAGGGCTAGAACGTGTAGCCAACACTTTCCAAGCACTGTCTTTCTTCAGGGCAACCTAATGGTCTTTCTAGGCAGGCTGCTGTGCAGCCACAAAAACACGTGTGACACTCCAGAGGGGAAATCAGCAGAGGATCAGAAAAGCCCTGCCTGTGTGCCTGTGAGTTAATGAGGATACCTCCCTGATTTTGCCACTGCTCTTCTGCCTTGTGACCAAGGTGATGGAAGGTAATGAGCAGTTTGGTGACTCAAGTCCATCCATAAAAGTCTCATTCACATTTCCCTCAGAACTCCAAAAATGTATATGGATGTTATTTTAACTGATTTTGCCCACGGCAACACTACATGCAAGGCAAAGAAGACATTCCTGATCTAATGCAAAAACTAAATTACTATTATCTAACCAAACTCACAAAAGATTATGATAGATGGACCAGACAATACTGTACGGTTCCAACTGCTAACAAACACTAAGCAACTCCTGACACTGTGACACTAATTACTTAATTACGTAAGTAATTATCTAATGCCTTAATCAAATTTCTTTCATATATAAAATTTAACACTACAATCACCCTCAAACTCTTCCAAGTCAATCCCTTGTCCCAACTGAGAAATTCAATTCTAATAAAACTGTTTTGTGTTTCATTGTTCCCTAATGAGTACTAAAGTGTCTCTCTCACTCTTCTTGACTCCAAGCAGTGGAGGTTTCACTGATGTCTGGGTCTCTCATGATCCAGATGATACATCTTTCCTCTCTAGGGAGAACTTCCAATGGGACAGGCTCAGCTTCTTAAGTAAAAAGCAAGTTCCTTGGGAATGAGACACAAAAATAGGACCTCATCTATAAAACAGAAAAGACAAAAAAGCAGCAGACATTAACACCGCGGTACTTTCCAAAGGCACAACAGCATTCTCAAAGTGAAACGGCATTCTTAAAATTCACCATTGCTTATAACTCTAATCACACGGCTGCTACCAGTCAGGAAAAGGGAGTTGAGAAGAAAACTGAGAGGGCAAAAAAGGCTTTGTGACTAATTTCTCTAGAAAGTCAACCAGTCTGGTAACAGCCACTGAAAATCTACTACCTGCAAAATTTAAATGCAATTAGGAGAAACCATTGATTTATAGTGAATATGCTAATAATTCTTCTTTGTTCAAGTAAGTGAATGTAATAAATATATAAATATGTACATCTTTGTGTGTACATTTGCCCACAATGATACAAAATGGTTAACTGGGGAAATGGGATAATAGATCATTTTATTCTTTTCTATGACAATTTTGGTTTCCAATGTTCTGTGAAGTTACTTTTTGATCAGAAACGGCGTAGGAAATTGAAGCTATTTCCTTCATTCTGTCTGCCACCACCCACTCTTTGGAGTGCTTCTATTCTTACTTACCTTTCTGAAATCACAGAGTTTGTCCTGGGTCAAAACTTCCATCCCCACCTGGCATATGGATCTTCTTGCATTTATGGCAGGCCATGTGATGTGGAAGATTCACATGTTTACACTGTGAGCAGACCCAATTCACTGGACTGCATGGTGAGGCAGACTGTTCCTGTTTTGGGGATTCTGAGACTTTTTTCCCTTGTGGTTTCTTGGCCTTCTGCCTCTGAAACTGCACTTTCACAGGACTTTGTATCACACTGGGAATCTTACTGATTCCCAGGGGAGCCATGCATTGGGGCATCACCAACTCATCCTTCTGGCTGTGGCGGCTGATGTCTCCCTGGTGACATCTGTCCAGGAGGTTCTGAGGATGTTTATCCTGGGAGTGGCAACTCTGATAACACAAAGGACCCATCTTCTCCTGAGACCTCACTGCAGCCAACAAGGGTGGAGGGTGGATCTCTGTAGGAAGCATGTGGGGTACACCTCCTGTCACTGTTGCTGCTGCTGCTGCTGGTGCTGATTCCCTTACTACTAGGGGTGGCAGTGGTACTGAGTATGGGGATCCCAGTGAAAATGGCACATGGAATGGGAATTGGTGAGGCACACAGAATGGGAAATGGTGTGGCACAGGCATTTGCAGAGGGGGCTGCATTGGCTGAGCCCAAAGACCTGGAGGTTCTTGCGTATAATGCAAAATTGCTGGAGCTAGCATGTGGGACTCCAAATGCAACATGCCTTGAGCTCTGGTGGCCATCACCTCTGTTTGTTCCTGTGTATTCAGGGACCTTGCTGCAGCTCCATATTCTTCAGTTCCTGGATTAGGTACAACCTTCTTGGACAGCAAATCAGCCTGTGCTGACCTCTTGGTCTGGAGCAGCCTCCTGCGAAACATTTCGCTCTCATCCAATACCTGCTGTAAAGAAGCTCTCATGGAGTGCAACTATGCTATGGCACGGTCTCACTCCTGACGCATCCGCTGCATCTCGAAAACCAGAGCACTGCAAGTTGCCTCGCGCTCCTCTAGCTGCTCCCGCAGCCAATGAAGTCGGTGTGTCTGCTCCTCCTGCTGCCCGGCAACTACTCGTACACCCAAGGCCAGCGCGCTCCAGGTACAGGCCCGCTTGAGGGCGCGTGGCATCTGCTGGTTGGTCAGGATAGTGTGAAGACCATCCTCGACCTCGTTCCAGGACCGCGAGAAGAAGGCCAAGTAGAAGTCTGGCCCGCCACCGTTACTGCGGATTTCGCTGTTAATGAACTGGATCACATCGATGTGGCGGAAGCCGCTGGTGGAGTGCCCAAGTTCCACCGCCATAGCTGCTGCAGCCTAGTCAAGCAACGGCCTCACAAAGCACAGCCACCAATAAAGGCTATGGTTGTCAAGCTGGTCTCCCCTCAGCTCCCCACTCAGTCCTACTTTAGTCCGTGTCCACTTCTGGCCTTTTGCAAGGTTTCCTGACTCCCTCAGACTCTCCTCACAAAGGACCGAGATAATCCTCTCACCGGAGCAACCACTTCCGGGCGCCAGCGACGTGACGCAGGCGCCATCGGCGCTCTGTGTTAGACCGCAAGGACTGCTAGAATCAGTGGGTCTCCACGCAGCGCCACCTACAGGAAGAAGAGTGGCTGGAGCGGAGACTGCCCTGTGCCCAAATTGGGAGGAATGAGATTCTTTAGAGATAGTAACCCACGACTTGGGATGAAACGTTCAACCACACACACGCACATGCACTCCTAGTCTGAAAGAGAAGGTGGATCAAAGGACATCAGAGAATTTCTGGCCAAGGGAAAAGCAGAAGGATATGGGGAAGAAGGCTGAACTAGGAAGGGGTACATAGATGAAGAATGGAATTACAGAGTTTCCAGTTCAGGGAGGTGAATAGGATGCAAGCTGGGAATTTTACCAAAACAGAGAAAAGAGGAAGGGTAGGGGGCATTGACAAAAATGTGAGAGAAAAAATGGGGCCTGCACTGATGCTGTGGGGAAGATGTTTGGGAAGCAGTGGGAAGTAGGCTCAGTTTTGTCCCTCACACAAATTAAGTTAGAACCTGGCAGTTCTTACAAGATTACAAGGCCCAAGCTGTAGATGAAAGGTGATGAGGGCCACTAGAAAGAGCACCACTGTCGAGGTTGAGTGGATAAGTATGAAAGGGAAGCCAGATCAAGAAGATGTTCTGGGAAGATAGGGAGCTATTAAGGATAGGAGACCACAACAAAAGTGTATCATCTAATTCAGTGAAAGGGAGGAAAAGACATTTCAAAACTCCGTATTGTGTACTAGAATTCTCTGATGGGGGATGACACAACATGTAGGAAAAGTGAATCCTTAGTGAATTTTTTTGATATCAGATATTGCTGAGGGCTTTGAAGGATACTGCAAGTCACAGGCAGGGGTGTTTTACTATGGAGTGTGGAGGAGTGCTGCTCCTTGCTCAACTCCTGCAGAGTTCCTACTTCACTCGCTCCCACAGGAAGAATTTTCTCAACTTTGAAACTATTTACCTATAGTTCAGATCCTAGCCTCTCCCATCTCCTCAGAGAGTTGTTTATTCATTATTTCTCAAATGATTTTTCTATATCAAGCTCTTCCCCTCTACCTCTACTAACTCCTTTCCCAACATAATGAGCATGTTCAAGTTTCTTCCATGCTGTATAATGGTCTTGTTTACATTTTCAATACTTTAACTTCTATCCTAAAACTATAGAAAGTACTCCTAGAACACGAGCAAGCATCTTCCAACTGGAACTTTCTGTAGTATTTACTCTTTTGACAACTTTCTTTTTGAAATCGATATTCCCTTTTCCCCTGTGACATCAAATTCTATTGAATTTCATTCAATATGGCTGTTCCTTCTTAGTTTCTGTCGGGTGCAGTGCTACATAATTTTAGGGAAAAATCATTTTATTAGGCCTAGTTCGCCTGCCTACAGGCCAGCTATAGCATTTTAAGACATAATTCCATTTTGGCCCCCAGTCACAACTGAGACCTCAATGATCCTGTGATGCTGTGATGCTCCAGGACAAGATTACAGCAGCTGAAGACATCCTGGGAGGAACAAAATCTTCATCTACTTAGTTCCTTATTGTCCTTGGATTGTTACATCCTGTTTATCCCGATGTACTGACCTCTCTGCAAGTCGTTTGTTACATTTGTTTCTTCCGATGTGCTGAATAAAAGATGCAGCAAGCTCGGATCTTTGATAAGACCCAAAGCTCAGCTTCTTCTCAAAGTCTTATTTTTCTGCCTTTCCTGTAATTCGCCTTGTGCTGCCGTGGCTCGCAGGAGACTAGGACTTAATGCAGAGGTTATGGTAACGTTCCCTTTCCCTCTTCCCTACAAGTTTCCTTTTGCTGCCTACTGTATGATTCCGCTCACCCCTATAATATTGGTGTCTACCTGAGTTTTGTCCTCAGATTCCTCAATTTCGGCATTGTCCCTTGTTCCAGACATGGTTTCTGTGATTCTGTCTATTCTTGTTTGTAACTACCATCAATAATTGCTATGGGGCCAGGGATTTAGCTCAGTGGCGTCATGCCTGCCTTACAAGCACAAGGTCCTCAGTTAGATCCCAGGTACCACAAAAAAAAATTGCTGAAGACTCCTAAAACTTTATATCCAGGATGCTGTGTCCCTCAAACTTTAGAGTAACCTAACGAAAACCTCCTAAAAACCTTCACCTGGATTTTCCATAGCGTTGTTTGTCACAAATCCTAAACTCATCAATACTATTTTGGACAAGTTTCTTATCAGATTTCTTAGCATTTAAGAAAATATACTTCCTCAAAAAGTTGTTGCAAGGATGAAGTCTACCCTTATCCTCTGGGGGTAAGGGTAATTGTGGATAGCATAAAACTCTATACATAATTATATTTTCCTATACACACAAACATGTGTAATGCCTTTTCCAGTTTAACTAAACACTTATACTTTACTCTGACTATAACTTTTGCAGTTCAAATGCAACAGCCAAACTGGCACAATTGCACAGATAAAAGACTCATTCTTACTGTAGATCTTAACAAACTCAGCATCCCATTTTTTTCTTTCTTTATTGAGAACTTTAACCTTTGAACTAAAAGGAAGCACTCTATGATTATTCTGTCATACATGAACTATCAGATCACTATTCTTGAACTTTAGAACCATTATTAAGAAAAATATGGTTTACTTGAACACAAGTATGGCAACACTGCAACAATCAATCTGGTAATTGAGATAGCTACTAAGAGACTAATAGGTAGCTACACAGTGTGGGTATAGTAGACAAAAGATAATTCATGTCTCACATTGAATGGAGCCGATTGTGAGATTTCATCACACTACTCAGAAAAAGTGAATCAAAATTATGATTTTTTTCTGCAATTTTTCATTTAATATTTTAAGACCACAGTTGATCATAAGTAACAAAGTCCAGAAAGTGAAATCATGGATAAGGGTACACTAGTGTATATGTAAAATAATTATCATTTTTATCATCATCATCCTTATAACTATTTTTAAAAGCCTTCATAGGGAAGGGGGGACTTAAATTAGGATTTGTCAATGGGTAGGATTTAGATGAGTAGAGTGAAGGAGAAAACAAATACAAAATTGATGAAAAATCTCTATTTTTTACCAATTAGCTTTGGCAAAGATCTGAACCAAGCCACCCTATTCTGTCATACCTAGTTGAATTATATTACTCAATTTGAAGGATAATTGGCTCCTCCCGTGTTTTTGTTCCATTATATTGTTAGAAACAAGCATCTGGTTCCCCCATCTACCTGCCTCGTACATTTCAGCTACTTCTGTGGATGCTTTTTGCTAGAGCTATACATCGGATACCACCAAGGAGGTTCCATGTGTATACTGGTATTTGTGATGTATCAGGATCTACACTTCTTTCTGGGTACTGAGGGAATCATCTCCTCCTGATCATAAATAAAGCATATTCTGTTTATGAAAGATAAATGATGGAGTCATTGGAGAATGGAATTAGACCTACACTCAGAGTATAGACAAAAAAATGAAAGTGTTTATTAAGAGGAAATATTTATGAGAGTGATTTTATATAATAATAATAATAGTATTTTCTTAGGTTAGTAATGGAAAAAGGCAAGGAAAATGGAAAATTCTTATATGATCCTGAAATATTAAAAAATCCAATGCCATTTGTCTATCTTTATAAATAAATATTTTTCCCTGAAAATAATAATTTCTCATATGTGGGCCAGTTCAATTTTCCACGTTTTGTATAAATATTATAAGGCACAACATTGGTTTGCTAGACATATAAAAAGGCATTCAGGTTTAAGAGAATCAGTTATCAATATTATAAGCTTTATTTTCCAAATTGGCATAATCATCATTGCATATTAACTGAAGGTAGAAATAATTCATATTAACTAAAAGTGAAGGTCTTCATGAATTATCTTTTCTATCAATAGTGATTTGTATATTAATGCTATACATATCAATAAAAGTGCTAATAAAATGTTTATCTTTTGGGCTATTTATACAGTAATTTAAAATTTAGAATTTACTATGCACTAGGGTTGTGCACACTTTTTGTATATTATCTTTTTTTGTTTCTTTTTTTGTTTTTGGTACTGAGGATCGAACTTGGGACCTTGTGCTTGCGAGGCAGGTGGCAAAACCTCTGAGCTAAATCCCCAGCCCTGTGTATATTGTCTTATCTGATCATCATCATAACCATGTAAAATAGAATATTGCTTCCATTTTTGAAATAAATAAATTGAAGCTTCAGAAAGTTAAATAAATTTTATAAAGACCCACTTCCAGGATGTAGAGAAGCCAGAATTAATACCTCCATTAGTCTGAATAAAACATTCATGATCCTAACATTCATCATCCTAACTCTGTGTACAGCGACACATTTCCCATTTTCACTCTAAGACCCAAACTAGTAAAAATCACATGACAATGTAATAATACATGTGCAAAAGTTATACTGAAGGAAAAATGCCTTTCAATTCAAAAGAATTAAGAACAAAGCTTTTCTATGACCTACCAAGTAACTGTCTTAGTTACTTTCTCTCTGCTGGGACAAATACACGACACCAAAGAGTTAAAGGACAGGAAGTTTGTTTTGGTTCAGTTTGTAGAGGTTTCAGTCCATAGTCCACTGGCCCCAAGACAAGGCAGCATGATAGTGAGGCATATCAGAAGATAAAGACCTTACAATATGGCAGCAGGAAGCAGAGAACTATCAAGGGAAAAGGAAGGGTGAGATAGACCCAGGGCATGTCCCCAGTGACCCCTCTACTCACACCAGGCTTTATCATCCAACATAATATTTACCTGTTCACTAATAAGTATCATGACTCCATTATCCAATCACCTCCACAGTGTCCCAGTTATGAGTGCGTGAGGCTTTTGTGGGGGACATCTAGATATAAACTATAACATTCTACTCCTGGCCCCCAGAAGACTCATACACATCACTTTATGCAAAATGTATTTAGTCCATTTCTAAGAGTTGCTAAAGTCCCAACAGTTTCAGCATTGGTAA